TGGGGAGGAGCACTGGGGGGGGGCTAGACACCCTCTGCCTTATCTATGCTGTTGCCTCCCCCCCTCCACCCCAACTCCAGACATGAAGTGGAAGAACAAGTTCTGGGGCAAATCCCTGGAGATCGTCCCTGTGGGGACAGTCAACGTCAGCCTGCCCAGGTGAGTATTAACTCTTGGCAGCCAGGCCCAGCCCACAGGTGGTCCTGGGGGGCGGAGGTTGTTAGGGACAGATAGAAAGGTCAGCCTGAAGCTGCTTGCGGCAAGGGCAGTGTCTGTACATAGTACACCTATATTTACAGCTGTTGCCAATAAAGAAAGGTAAAACGCCTAGAAGGGTAGAGCTGGAAGGGCACACTGAGGTCATCTGACTCCGTGGCCTTCGTTCTTTTACGACCATGAGTCACAATGAGAAGTGCATTTGAGCCTTCAAGCCAGCACGCACACACACACACACACACACAGAAACCTAAAGTGATTTCAGGACTAATGGGTCCCAAACCACATTTGAAAAACCCTCATGTGGCTCATTTTACAGGTGAGGGACTGAAGGCAGAGAAGAAAGGGAGCTTCTTCAGAGTGGTTCAGGGGTTAGCTGGAAGCCAGCGTAGGGGGTGGGAGAGATCCTGGAGTTTGGAGTCAGAAGTCTTAGTTGTGAGTCGTGGTTCTGCCACTTAATAGTTAATGGAAGTAGCAAAAAGACTTGATGCCTCCAGACCTCGAGTCTGCTCACCTATGAAGTGAGAGTAATGACTGATACCCAAGAGAAGTGGGTGAACGTACCTGGTCGCTGGCACCCGAGGGCAAGGACCCTGTCTGCATTTTCAGCCCCAGTACCTAGGCACTCAGGAGCTTTGTATTCACTGAGTGCACTTGGGAAGGCTGCCCTGTTTATCAATATGTCATCGTTCACTGCAGAGCAGGAACCAGGACCCCCGGGTTCCCACAGACCCACATCATGTGCTCCAGTGAGACAGACACCCACAACTCGCTTGTGCCCCAGGGCCAGCCAGCCTCTCATGCCTTGTCTCTCTAGGTTTGGGGACCACTTTGAGTGGAACAAGGTGACATCCTGCATTCACAACATCCTGAGTGGCCAGCGCTGGATCGAGCACTACGGGGAGGTGCTCATCCGAAACACACAGAACAGCTCCTGCCACTGCAAGATCACCTTCTGCAAGGTGGGCAGGCCACCCTGACCCTGCCCATCTACCCCCAGCAGCCTCTGCTTCTGGAAGTCACCCTGGGTAAAGGGGAGGGGACACCTCCCTAAGCCCCCGACTTCCCCACCCCAGGCCAAGTATTGGAGTTCCAACGTCCATGAGGTACAAGGCGCCGTGTTCAGTCGCAGCGGCCGTGTCCTCCACCGGCTCTTTGGAAAGTGGCACGAGGGGCTGTACCGGGGCCCCCTGCCAGGTGGTCAGTGCATCTGGAAACCCAGTAAGCAGGGTGGTCAGGGAGGCTGGGGGGTGGGGGGCAGCCACAGCACAGTCCACCTGCCCCAGCCCCTTGCCTTCTGCCAGACTCAATGCCCCCAGACCACGAGCGAAACTTTGGCTTCACTCAGTTCGCCTTGGAGCTGAATGAGCTGACGGCAGAGCTGAAACGGTCACTGCCTTCCACCGACACGCGGCTCCGGCCAGACCAGAGGTCAGTGCCAGGACGGTGCCACCCTGGAACCACCAGGCTCACTGCCCCCTCACCGGGTCTCTGCACAGGGCAGAGCTGGGACTACGTCCATCCTTCACTGAGTTGTCTCAGGGCAGTGGGGCCCATTTGGGGGACAGGGCCAGGCCAGGGACAGAGGCCTGGGATTTGGGAACCCCTGAGGGTGGGCAGTTGCGTGACTGCGATCTGGATGCTCAGGTACCTGGAGGAGGGGAACATACAGGCCGCTGAGGCCCAGAAGAGAAGGATCGAGCAGCTGCAGCGGGACAGGCGCAGGGTGATGGAGGAGAACAACATCGTGCACCAGGCTCGCTTCTTCAGGTGCCTCGGCCCGCCCCGCCCAGCCCAGCGCTCCAGCCCTGCCCCTGTCCCATCAGCCCCTGCCGGCCACGGTGGGAGGCAGCATCTCAGGACCCGCAGCCTTCGTCCTGGGGGCTCTCCTTCTCACGGCCCGCCTCTTCCCCAGGCGGCAGACGGACAGCAGCGGGAAGGAGTGGTGGGTGACCAACAACACCTACTGGAGGCTGCGGGCAGAGCCGGGCTACGGGAACCTGGATGGGGCCGTGCTCTGGTAGCCCTGGCCCCGGGGGCAGGATTCTCTGGTTCCTCACTCCTGCCTCCGCCCCTACCACGGACACATGGGTGAGGCCAGGCTCCCCACTCACTGCCCTTGAGACCAGAAGGACAGCCTGGCTCTGGCCCTCTGTCCCCTCTGCCGGCCAGGGGGGCCACATCTTGGCCTATCCCCCACCCCACAGTTTGGGGTGAGAGTCAGAATCTGCTTTCCCAGTCTTGTTGCCCCAACCAACTGGCATGTAAGACCCTTTTTGCTCTGTCAGTTCCCTTCCTGTCCCCTTTGGGGTGCTTGGGGCAGACTCCAGGCTCCCAAGATCTGTTCCCCATTTCAGTGCCTTCCTAAGACACAGGGGACCCCTTGACGCTCCCCAAGCTTTCTCTGGCCCCAGTGATGAGGTTCAAATGCGTGAAGGAGAGGAGGTGGCCTTTTCTTCCTCCCTGCCCCTCCCCTGGCCCCATCTCCAGTGTCTTCTCCTTGCCCTGGCTCAGCAGGGCTTTCTCCATCTCCCCTTGGTTGGCCCCCGGCCATCCCTCCCATCCTCCCAGATCCTCTTCACCCAAACTGCAAAATGCCTGCAGCCTCCAGCTCCTTTGTCCACGATCCTCAAGTTGTTCCCTTCAGCCTCTACCCAGCAGATCCCCACAGTGGACGAGGCCTCTCCCCGGGACGGGGAGCGGACGGAGGCACCTGGCCTCAGACCCACAGGGAGCAAGTGAGTGGGTGTGAGGGTGTAAGTCCACGTAAGGGAGCGCGTGTGTGCGCACGTGTGTGTGTGTGCACGCGCGCGCCTGTGTCCTGCTTGCAGGCGAGCAGGTTCCCTTGATGTAGCCCGGACATCCCCCTGCTGGGTGTCCACCACGTTGCTGCTCTTTTTCTCACAGTCTGCCTCTGATGAAGGTGAATGGCTATGACATTCCAAGCTCCAATAAAGACTGTCCCAGTCTTTGGCCTGTGACCATTTATTTCAAAACGTGTGCTCAAGCTCAGTGGAGGGCCCATAGCCAATGTCATGGGTTGAATTGTGTCCCCCTGAAATATATGGTCCTGGCCCCCAGTACCTGTGAGTGTGACTTATTCGTAAATAGGGTCTTCACAGGTATCAAGTTAAATCAGGTCATATTAGACTAATCCAATGACTAGTGTTCTTATAAAAAGAGGGAAATGTAGGTGCCCAGACACCCGGGGGAACAGGCCATGCATATGGAGACGTGGGCAGAGACCGGAGTGAGGCATCTACATGCCGCGGACACCAAGGGTTGCTGGCAGCCACCAGAAGCTAGGAGGGGGGAGGGGGAGGGGCTCAGGGATTATCCCCCTGAGCCTCCAGGATGGAACCAACCCTGCCGACACCTTGATGGCAGACTTCTGGCCTCAGCTGTGAAAGAATACATTTCTGTTGTTTTAAAGCCACCCAATATCACTTCATTCCAGCAGCGCTAGGAAACTAATGCAGCCACCCACTCACCTGAGCAAAAAGCCCAGAAGTCATCCTCCCTTCCCCTTGACCCTCATGTCCTGTCGCATCCACCTCAAGTGTCTCTGCTGTGGCCCCTTCTCTCCCTTACATCTGGCTTAGGCTGGGCCCTCACCAGCCCGTGCTTGGACATTTACAGTCACTTCCATTCCAGTGCTGGCTTTCAGGCTGCTATTTCAAAAGAGAAAACATGGCACCTTAACGCCTGCTTAAAATACCACCGTTGCTTCCCAGTGCCTACAGGAAAAATCCAAACTCTTCAAACCGCACAGTCCCTGTCCCCCTGTCTGGCATAGAGTGCTGGCCCCCACATCTAGCATCCGGGGCCAGGTCTGCGTCCCCACCCTGCAACCCCCAAGATCAGTGAGAGTTCAAGGAAGAGAGGGAGGGAGAACAGGGCAGACTGCAGCATCACAGCTCTGGGGGTGGGGGGAGCGCTGGTCCATACTTCCAGTTTACTCACAGTGTTAAAGTTAAAACGAACACACTTGTTTTAACACCAAGCATGGTGTCAGTTTTTTAGAATGGGTTGAAATAACCTCAACCCATTCTAAAAAAAAGCCGAAGCCCACACACATTCAGGGTCTTTTTAAAACAATGTGCATCGTCTTTTCCCCTCAGAGGAACACAGCACCTGACCGACCAGCCTGTGTTCAAACTTCCACATATTTTAGGAATATGGAGTTTAAAATAGACCAGATCCCAAAGTTCTTTTCCTAGTGGAGACAAGAAACTAGAAACTTCTCTGCCCACGGCTTGCCCCATCTAGATCAGGGTCCTCCCACAGCCTCAGCCCAGGGACGACTCAAGTGCGGGGGGAAAGGGTAAGATCGTCTTTGCTCTCGCTGGGTAAGGGGCGTTCTCTTCTGGAGACTGTTGTCCTCTTAGAAACCGTCACCAACTGGCCAGGGTTTGGTTGGTCATTGCTGATGGGGGACTCAGGCTGGGCTCCGTGGCCACGGTCGTCTTTGCTCTCGCTGGGTAAGGGGCGTTCTCTTCTGGAGACTGTTGTCCTCTTAGAAACCGTCACCATCTGGCCAGGGTTTGGTTGGTCATTGCTGATGGGGGACTCAGGCTGGGCTCCGTGGCCACGGTGTAAGGGGCCTGAGGCAGCCATGGGTTCAGGGCAGTGGCCACCTCCCGGCCACCAGGAAGAGCAGGGTGGGCGTGCTCGGTGGTCGGGGGAAGGAACGGTGGGCTGCGCTCTCAAGCCTACGTCAGCCTAGTCAAATGACCCACAGGAGTACTGCCCACAGCGGGGCCTTGGGGTAGCCCAGCAGAGACCCAGACCTCCTGGCTTTGGCTTGAGGACATAGTGGGCCTGGGTCCAAGGAGAGGAATGTGGGTTTAATGGCCCTAAATCTTGACATGGCTTGGAACACCCCAGTTTGTAAAGCCAGGGACCCACAATGAACAAAGAAGGACAGAGGTTGAACAGCAGGAAAATTCTTGGGCCAAACAATAGTGGCAGAAGAAAAGGAAGATAGGCCAGAGGTGTCACAGGCCTCACCACACCTACCCAGGACCCTCCAACCCCAAACCGCTCCAGAGGAAGATACATTTTTTTTTTTTTAATTTTAGCTATTTTTTGTTTTTTTTTGTCTTTTTTCGTGTCCGGCAACAGATCGCAACCCTCAGTGTTGCCCCCGTACCGGACCGGGACCGGCAACGGGATGGCAACCCTCGGTATTGCTCCCGCGCCTCGCTCAGCCAGTGAGCGGGAACCGGTCTGTATGTGGGATCCGAACCCTCGGGCGGGAGCGCTGCCCCGCTTCACAAGCGGCGCACTATAGCAGTGCGCCACCGGGCCGGCCCTAATTTTAGCTATTGAATAGCTGGTGGTTATGCCAGGGTTGCAAGGGGCAGAAAAGCTCAAAAGTACTTTTAACCCCAAATTCCCTGCATCTTCTGAATGAAGTTGTGTGTGTGTGTGTGCGCACAATAAACCATGGAGGAGAAGAGCCCTGGGCCAGCCCAGGGCTGGGGCACTTACATTCCCTGCGTGAGGTCAGGGCAAGGACCCCATCCCCACTGAAGCCCGAGTGGGAGTGGGTGGTTCAGAGCAAAAGGAGGCTGCCGGGCCAGCACTGTGCCACCCTGACTCACCTGCATCGCATGTGGCCAGGTGGATGTGTGCAGGGAGCTCCCACCGTCTCTGTTTCAGGGAGAAGGAAGGAAGAGGGGACAGTTGCGGGGGAACCTGCAGCCTCTGATTGACAGCTGCTGGGGATGCAGAGCTCCTTATGTCTGACCTCAATTCTACTGATTTCAGTCTGTCCCTGTCCAGCCTAGCCTATGCTAGCTGTCCTGTTCTAGTCCCAGTTCTCACACCTTAAAGATCCTGGGTTATGTTGCCTGGCTCTTGCAACCTCTTTCGGGAATGCTCAAGGGGGCCTTGCCATTGGGTCATTAGTTTCATGATGCCTCATTACTGCAAAGGACCCATTTAATCAGTGACTTCTCTTTTTAGAGAAGTTGCAGCATGGGCAGAAGAGGAGGGGGCCTTAGTGCTCACCCCTGAGACCCATCTCTGTACTCCTTAGGGTGGTCAGGGAGGGCAGCCTAGACTTCAGAAAAACCCTCACAAGCTGGCCCAGATTAGTCTTGCTCACGATAAGACCTATTCCTGGTAGACACTTAACCAGATCACCTGGCTTTTTAGGTTGGTTCAGGAACTTTTCTGCTCTGATTCTTGCCACTCCATCTTCTCCTCATCTGTCCCTAAGAGTCAATTCCATCAGAGGGTGATGCTAAGAGCTCTTGAGATACCCAGAAGACCAGAGTCAGCTCAGCATAGGGCTCCGGGGCAGGGTGGCCTGGGGGTTTGGGGAACTTAGCTCTGGGGCTGGGGGTTCTGGAGTGCTATCCACGTCTCATTGACATATGTCATCATACAGTGCAAAGTCTTCACATTGCTGAAAGATGCCTCTAGGCCCTGATGCACATGGAGGGTGTGGTTTCACATGGGCAAATCCAAACTGCGGGCACTATGCCCCATGATGCCAGCTCAGGACCCTAGGGACACTGGGCCTTGTTGATTCCTAATATGAGAGGCCCCTCAAAGGATCCATCCTGATGAAGGCAGGTGGGTGGGCTGGGCTATAGGAAGGGTGTGGGTTGAAGAAGAGGTTGAAAGGGTCATGGCAGGAGCAGGAGGGAGAGAGGACAGCCATGAGAATTGGCTACACAGTCTGTTTGTCCAGGACCAAGGTGGTGAGACCCTCCAAGCATCCTCAAGAGGGCGCCTGGGGTCCTGAAAGGACCACTTCAGTCACATCCTGAGCCCTGCCTGGCAAGCGCTGCACCCACTGCCTGCTCAGAGTATCAGGCCCCCAAGCATGTGGCTGGGGCTGGGGCCCAGCTCAGCAGTGACAAATGGCAGTGGCAGACACTGTTTACAGTCCGTATTCCTAAAGATTGCGGTCAACTTACCACTGTCCACCTTCCCTCTTTAGAAAACACTCATGAGGGAGGAAAAACCCTGCTCTGGGACACCCAGGTGTCCCCAGCCACTCTCAGAAGCAGCCCAGATGGTCTGGGGAAGGGTGGCTCGGGGCCCTTTGCAGGTGTCTCCTCACTGCCAGGTAACAGGTCCCCCAGGACAGCTGGTCCAGGACCCCCTACCCTCCATATACGGAGCACATGAGAATGAGAGGACTTTTCCTGAGTTTCCACTAACACCTCTCCTGCTTCTGTAGCCTGGGAGCCCATCACACACTGGGGAGGGAACCCCTGAGTTTAGCCTGGTACCCTAACTTTGGGCTTCCTGGGAGAAAGGCAGGTAGAGTGAGTAGGAAGAGCGCCACCCTTAGATCCAGATGAGGGGTGCCCCTGCTTGGGGTTCTGTCTGGCTGTCCTCCAACTGTGCCCCTCCCCATGGGGCGAGGCATCTCTGGGCTGCGGGAACGTGTTCACCCAACTCCCCCACAGACGGCATTCTGGGTACCCAGGACCCTGGAATTCCTGAGACCCATCAGCCTCTAGCCCACCGTGCAGGTATCTTTCCCAGGCACACCTTCGCGAGGCTGGGCTGCGCTTGATCGTGTGTGCACCCCCTTCCCTTTGCACAACAAAGCATGGGCAAAAAGGGATCAGCCAATGGCCTAGGGGCCAGGTTGGAGGATAGAACATATTTTATTTAAGTTGGTAGTTAGTTTCATGATTTTTAAATATCTAATGTATATATTAGAGGGTGAACAAAACCAATGCCATTTTGTGTCCCACCTGCCACGTTGACTCCTGCTTAACATCATTCCTTTGCTTCACTGACAATTACACGTTAACCAGAGGGCAAGCTGTGAAAGAAACGTAGGTTTCAGGGAGTGAAGGACTTAGTACAGCAGGTGGCGTCAGTGGTCTGAGCGCTAAAGTCACAGCCCGCGCCCCCCCCACTCCCCAACCTCACAAATCACAAAGACACTGGGTGAATGATGTTGTCAACTGCAGTGGTATTCTTGTCCTGGACCCTC